AGTCAGGCGAAGCTGTCTTTAAAGGTGCCGTCACACTGCAGGGCAGCAGCAGTGTCAGGGCTGGGACAGGAGTTGTCCTATGATCTAATGGGAGGACAATGGCGAAGGAAGGGTACAAACGCCAAGCCAAGGTGATGCTCCTTGTGGAGAAGCATCTGGGAATGACTGGCTTGCACCTACACCCCTGCTATACACCTCTCCGCACCAAGAAGCATCCCTGGCTGACGCAGTATTTGCCTGAGTGACAGACACACCTGTGTCAATGAAGGAGGCAGCGGTGGGACTCTGCACAGTGTCGTGTGCACACTCGATGCTGGAGATGACGGCAGGCAGCCCCTGCCACCAGTGGACTGATGGTCAGACTGCAAGTCTAGGGATCACCTGGCGGCTCCCAGGGAGGGCACACTTGGCAGGTTACTGGTCAGGGTCACACCTTCAGTGGTGAGTGGGGTGTGGGCCTGAGCCTTGAGGCCCTGGCCTGGTGCGGCCCACCTCTCTCTCTGTTGCTCTCACGGGCCTGTGTACCCGCGAGACCCCCGATCAGCCTCCTCGCCCCCGTCCTCCCCCATCTGGTTTTCCAAAAGGCAAGGAGGAAATCTCTGCCTTGGGAACCTGATGTAGCTCCTGCACTGGAGCCCTCGGTGCCCTCCTGTTTTGATCTCATTGGCCTCCATCTGATGGCGGGAGGATGTGACCCCGCAGGCTCCCTCCAAGGCTGCGCTCTCAGCCACTGTCCCTCGCTGTGTCATTCGTCAGCTCCCTCATCAGCAAAACAGGGACAACGTGCCTGCTGTAAAGGAATGTCTGGATACGATGGCACCTCGAGGGAGAGCCTGGCGCTCACCTGGCGCTCCTACTGATATTAAAGAATAAGGTCCAACTGAGGGTGGCCGTGTGCGCCGAGGTCCCGGCCGCTGGTCAGAGCTTGGTGCTCCTCCCTAACCCCGGGGCAGCTCAGCCATCTGGAAGTCCTGCCTTTCAGACCCTCCTGGCTGAAGATCAACAGTGGTCAAAGCTGTGACAAGACCAGAGGAAATTTCAAGACAGCACCAGGAGAGAGCCAGCCAACAGGGCGGACTATCGACCGAGAAGAGTTGAGAATCCCACAGTCACACCTTCCTGTGGGTCATCTGGAGGAGCACCCAGAGAAATGACAGCCCAGGGCCCACCACTGTTTCTACAACCATGAGAATATTTATTTTCTTCAGACAGTAAAAATAACATTTTTTCTCTCTTTTGTAAAAGTTAAGTACCATTACATTCCATTTTCTTAAATAACAAAATCCTAAAAATATATATTAAATTGTATACAGTGCGTCACACTTCATTTTATATTTTAAAATACATGATGTTTCTATTTTGTTCTCAAAGTTGCATATTAAGAAAATATTTACAAATAAAGCCTTGTCATCCAAAGTCAAAGTCCCTGCTGGGGGTGAGTTTGGATGTGGAGGGTCTTGGTGCAGTAAGAACCCCCTGGGGTCCCTGCGCAGGCAGGAGGGCCTCCAGGTGCGCCTAGGGACCCCCCCTGTGAAGCAGGAGCCGCCTCTGCCTGTCCTCTCTGTCCAGCCAGTGCTCGGCTCCAGCTGCGGAGACAGGAGCCCGGGCGGTGGCGCCAGGGGCCTGCGGGCAGAGGGGAAGCCCTGTCTCCCCAGCTGTCCAGTCTGAGGGGAGCCTCTGTGGCTGGAGGTTTGGAAAACACCCCAAACCAGGGCAGCTAAGCTGAGACCTGGCCAGGAGGTAGACAGTGAGGAGGGTAAACAAAGACACAGAGGAAACAATGGAAAGGCGGAACCCAGGCAGTAACAAAGCAGATGGCCAACGCCCCCCAGGAGACCGGGACCCAAGGAGAGCCAGGTGCCCGGATATGGAGGCGGGGTGGTCACTGGGGAGACCCGGCCTGGCCTCAGCTGACAGGAAGGCCGGGTCTTGGAGGCCATTTCTGCTAAGTGCTTGGTGAAGACTAAGTGCACGGTGCCTGTGGTGGTCAGGCAATGCTGCGTGCCCTTGTGTCTGCCCAGCGGCTGAATCTGGATCCTGAGTGGGGTCAGGCAGACTCCTGCCTGGGCCGACAATGGGTGTGAGGCTGGCTCGGGGCCCAGGCACGCCACGGGGTTCAACCTGAGGGCCAGGACAGCTGTACTTGCAAGTGCTTTGATCTCTGTGGACTTGGGGCTGACCGGAGTCTGGAGCCAGAATCCACACTGAAGAAGTCAGCACGCCCGCCCGGTCACCTTACTCATGCCCAAGAGGCCTCACCCGTCCTTGCCGACATGGACACAGGCAGGGGGTTCACTCCTGTTTATTCTCTGCTTTGCAAGTGACTGAACAGATGGGGAAGAACAGAGTGCACCCCGTGCCTCCTGCTGCCTTCTCCCAGGGCAAAGGACACTGTGAGACACTGCTGGACACCAGGCAGCTGGTCCCCAGAGGGCTGAGGTGCAGTCCCCCAGGAGGTGGAAGGCTTGGCTAGTGAGGGCCCTCTGTGGGTGCACATGTTGAGAAGGCAGCCCTGGGTGCCAGCAGTGCCCAGGGCTGAGAAGGCTCACAGGCCGACGCTCTGTCCCCTCCTGTGCTTTCAGGGCACAACCCTGCCTCTTTCAGAGCCTTCCGCTGTGTCGGAGGAGGAGCCTCAGGGTTGCCCTTTTCCAGTCACTTCCTAACTCTCAGCTCCAGGCATTTCTCAAGGCATTTCACTTCCTCCTACAGTGCGTGCTCCTGGACGCCCACCTCACCTCCTCTGGGGTCATTTACTTCCTGGGTGTTTGCGTGGCTCTAGGGGCCTTCTGGGGAATGCTGCTGACAGGTTCTAAGGCCACAGTCGGATGTTTATGGAGCTTTGGCCTGGGACGGTTCACAGCCCTGCCCCCAAGCTATGGTGAGGTGCGGCTGGGTTTCTAGGGCTGCTCCCTGGAGAGGAAGGGGATCTGGAGGTACGGGCTGTTTCAGGCCACCCGGAGGAGGCCCCCGGGGCACTGCTGTCCTTCCTGGGGTCTCTAGAGAGGGGCTACTGGGGCCACAGCTCAGATAACGTGCTGGCTAGGGCCTGGCACCCTGAGATGTGGAAGGTGAGGAGGCAGATGGAAGTGGCTTCCAGGAGGCCAAGCCCAGTGACCAGCATTAGCTGGGGCAGTTAGCAATGCCTCTGGCCAGGAGAGCCCTTCCTGGGCTCCACATTCCCGTCATGCTGTGCGAGGGTCTGTTCACAGCACGGGGCCCTGGGTGAGCGCACACACCTGGCGCTTGTGTTTGACAGGAGATTCCACAAAAGCCATGAATAGCGAGGAGCAGAGAGGCCGGGCAGTCTATTTCCAGTGATACTCGGTGTGAAGGCCTGTCTCTAGGCCCAGGGGCCTGCGGACAGCTGCTCTGGCACAGTGGCCCTTCCTCCAGACAGCGGAGACGGGCGCGAGTGGCTCGGGGCTCTCAGCACACTGCTTCTCGGCTGCTGGGGTAGCACCCTGCCTGCCTGTGGACAGACACACTGCCCACCTCCCTCTTACTGCCCCACCTGCTGGTTCTGAGCACCCCCGGCCTGGCACTGCCGAATGTCCTTTCTCCCTACAGACACTTCTCAGCTGGCCCCATTCAACCTTCCATTCTCCCAGGAGCAGCTGGGTTCAATGGGCTGTGGGAATCCCAGGTCATCCAGAGCAGGCAGTGGCCTGGGGATGTGGGGGAGGTAGGCACAGTGCCCAGGAGGGCACCCAGGAAGCCAGAAACACAGCAAGCACTCAGACGGAGTGCCCCCAGGACAGCCATACTCTTGACAACGGCCCTTCAGGGCACAGGCTACTCTTCCAGCTGCTGTAGGCAAAGCCAGCTTCCGCATAGCGGGGACCTCTGAAGATGCCTTCTCTCTCGGCCAGCACTGCTCCAGCTGGAGATCTCAGTCTAGGGGCCTATCTCCCAAGGACCTCCAGTCCCAAACTCTCCCTTCCCCTCACCAATCTCCACAGTTGCCTCCTTGTGTGAGGGACAAGGTGGCCTGTTGCCAGGGATGAGAACCTTCTTCTGCCCCACAGAGTCACTCCTGAGGCCTCTCAGTCCCCATAAGAAGGGGCAGAGCACACAGCCCTCAGGGTATATATCTATTTAACCTTCTTTCACAATGAGAGACACTGCAGCAGGCACTGTCAGCCCAGGTCTCACTCAACGTTGCCCAGAGGCTGGGCCAGTCTTTATACTCCCTGTTCTGAACTGAGAGTTGGCTGAGAGCGGAGAAAATGGCCTGGAGTGGGTTCCACAGGACCCAGGGCAGCTGGGGAGCCAGGCGGACAAATCTAATCCATAAGTACTGAGGGCCCAGGACGCTCCCAGCAGAGTCTGAGGCGTGAGAATGAGTGGACGTTTTATAGGTCAGTGAGCTACTGGAAAAAACCTCTAGAGAGAAGCCTGTGTGTGGAAGACATGAATGGGGGTCCTAGACCCTCTCTCAGGCCTTCCCAGGCCACCCTAGCCTAGCACCCAGAGAGCAAACCTCCAGCGCAAGTATGGAGCACCGGCTCCCTTTACATTTTGGCAGGTGCTAATGCCCAGGAGTCCACGCTTGTACGGGACCAGGCCAGCCCTCAAAAGAACCTGAGAATTCTCCCAGTCTGGTCCTGTGCCAAACTGTGAAGACCAGGGGAAACTGATCTGGGTGTGGACAAAATAAAGAAGCAAGAAAAACTCAACATATGCTAAACCTACCCATCACCCAACAGTCATCTAGAATGAACCTGAGCCCAGTGTCAGCGTGGCCATCTCTGTCAGCGTGGCCATCTCTGTTAGCTCAGCTCGGTCCTGACACCCCCAGTTGCTAGACCAGAGAGACGCGCAGGGAGGGCCTGGCCCTGAGCCCTTGGGTCTCTCTCCTAAGCGCAGCTGGTGAAGCAGGAGCAGTGGGCTAGGCTCACCCTGCAGCTTGGTGCCCCTTCTCAATGTGTTGAAGGGTACCCCAAAAGGCTGAGGTGGAGGGGAGGCAGGGAAGAGTCGGTCAGAGAACCACAGGGGAGGTTGACCCCGACAACCTTGAGCCCCAAGAGGGACCTCGAGTTCTGGGAAGTGCGGTTTTAGTCACTCACAAGGGGATTGCGGTCATCTTGTTGACTCTGACCCTTGAGCTTCTTCTTAAAGATGGAAATTGAAGTAGAAGGTTTATAAAATATGCTCCAGATTTCCCCTGAAGTCCCTGGTTGGTGGCAATCCCTGAGGTCCCCTGAAGCAGGAACACGGTGGGATCTGCCAAACAAAAACCACAAAGTTCAAGTAGATCAGAAGAGAGCCCCCAAACAATCTGCCATCTCATGAGACACCTGTCCTAAGAAACGGGATGCACAGTGGGTTGGGGTTCCAGGAAGGACCTAAGGGCCAGCTTTAAATATCTGAAGGACTACTGTGTGGATGACATGCAGCCGGCGGACAGCAGGCAAGGGCAGCAGGGCAGAGTCCTCCTCAGCACAATAAGAGACTTTCTGACTGGCAGAGTTCTTCAAATCTGGAAAAAGGTGGCCTGGGAGAGTATGAATTTTCAAATTATTCTTTTTAAATTAAAGAACTCTGTCCCAAATGCTATTGACTGGAAGCTCACCCATCTAAAACAGGGCAAGAGCAAAACTCCTCTGCCTGAAGCAGTATCCTCCCTCACCTTCAGCTCCAGTCCCAGCACACTCCAGATGTCAGTCCCCAAGGTCACTGGGCAGGGTAGCTCAGAAGGTCTCCAACAGAGGGGACTTAGGTACATACTTTAGGGCCTCAGTCATGCTGAGACACCTGACCCTACAGGAAGTATCCTGCTCTCTTGCTGCTGCAGGGGACACAAAGACAGAACTAGGCCTGAGGGGCTTCCCCAGAATATGTGAATTTTGACCTTTAAAACCTATGTATACAGTTGGCTCTCCAAACCCACAGGTTCTGCAACTGTGGATTCAACCAACTACACATGAAAATAGTTAGAAAAAGAAACTATTCTGAAGATGTACAGATGCTTTTCCTTATTTTCCCATTGTTTATTTCCTAAACAATGCAGTGTAACAACTATTTACATAGCATTTATATTACACTAGATATTATACAAATACAATACACAGGGCAATGTGCATGTTATATTCAAATACCTTGTTGTTTTATATATAGGATTTGAGCATCCAAGGATTTTGAAGGATAACTCTGTGTGTGTGTGTGTGTGTGTGTGTGTGTGTGTGTGTGTGTGTGTGTGTAAAAGAGATGAGAGTGAGCTTAGTAAACAATAAGGTCATTATTTCTACTGAAAAATGTCAAGTCTCTGGTGAAGATGTCTAGGTAAGGTCATCCCAGAGTGATCAAAGGTGGCCTTTACAAGACAACAGAGGAGGCTGTGTTTAATGTATAAAAAGTCTGTGGCATGGGCTGTGGTTGTAGCTCAGCAGAAGAATGCTTGTCTGGCATGTGTGAGGCCCTGGGTTCGAATCTCAGCACCACATATAAACAAGTAAAATAAAGACCCATTGACATCTAAAAAAATCATTCTTTAAAAAAAAAGGGCTGGGATTGTGGCTTAGAGGTAAAGCACTTACCTAGCATGCGTGAGGCACTGGGTTCAATCCCTCAGCACTACATAAAAATAAAATAAAGATATTGTGTCCACCTATAACTAAAAAATAAATATTAAAAAAAAATTCTGTGGGGCTGGGGATGTGGCTCAGGCGGTAGCGCGCTCGTCTGGCATGCGTGCGGCCCGGGTTCGATCCCCAGCACCACATACCAACAAAGATGTTGTGTCCGCCGAGAACTAAAAAATAAAATATTAAAAAAAAAAAAAAAAAAGCTTTAAAAAAAAAAAAAAATTCTGTGGCAGAGGGCAAGTGAGAAGGTCCCCCCAAAAGGGGCTTTCACTGGACATCAATGTTCCGGAAGACCTTGTAATGGGAAGAGCTGGACTAGGAACTAAAAGAAGGTAGTCAAGGCCTAGAACAAATTAGAACTCGTCTCTGTAAGTCACAAACATCAATGGCACCCACAATTGCCCCTTTCCTGGAAGGTGGAACTGTTAAACCTGAGCAGCAAAATAAGGGAAGAAAAACTTTCTGCCCCAATTGGTCAGAATTGAAGGATAATGCTTCTAAGCTTCTCAAATAATTTTTTTTTAGAGAAAGAGAATTTTTTAATATTTATTTTTTTAGTTTTCGGTGGACACAACATCTTTATTTTTATTTTTATATGGTGCTAAGGATTGAACCTAGCACCCCGCGCATACCAGGTGAGCGTGCTACCGCTTGAGCCACATCCCCAGCCTTCAAATAATTGTTTTAAGGTAATTATTAAGAAATAGTTAATAAAACGTTAGAATTCTCTTGCTAAGATTGTCTCCCAATTTCCAGGAGACATCAGGAAGTATGTGTGGTATTTCCTAGGAATCTTTAGTCTTGCATAAATATCACGATAAAGAACCAGCACATACTAAAAAATGGAAATTGTTGCTGTTTATGCCACTGAAACTATATCCCGTGGACACAGGAGCAAACTTGATCCCTCCGTCCCTCAAACCTTACTTAGTGAGATTTGTCCAGTTGTACTTTTCACTCTGAGGAGGAGGAGGAATGTCTAGGACTCAGGACTTTGGAATCGTGTTCTGAAGTGACAACTGCACCCAGACAAACGAAGCCCAGAAGAAAAGGCATTTTGAGGCTTCCCCTTCCTGGAACGGGCAGCACTCTCTTGTACTCACTTGAACGTGACATGCAGAAGTATCTTTGCAACAATGGCTGTGACCGTGAGGATGAGGAGGGTCGCCAGGCCGTACACTGTCCATCCTACAAGTGCAAAAGACAAGGGTCCACTGAACATGTTTGTGCTTCAAGGTCCAAAGGAGGTCTGCAGCTTGGGGGTGCAGATCCAAAAGGAGCCTCCATGGCAGATGGGGGGCGGGCAGCAGCAGGCAGCTGTAAGCTGGGCTGAGCATGGACCCCAGCTTTCTCAGTACCTTGCCCTGTTTGGTATGATACAAAGCACACTGGACTCAGAGTCAGAGGGTGGGTACATTCTGTCTCTACCACAGGAGTCACTGTGCCACCGAGTTACATCAAGTCTCTGAGCCTCAGTTTTCTCATTCAGGCAACGAGGTGTGTGATCTATGAAATCCACCACCAAATGACAAGGAACGAGCACAGCAGAGGCCTCCTCCCTGACCTTCCATGGTGGGTCCTGTCAGGCACAGGGGAGAAACGTGAGAACCTCTAGGCTGTCAGCACCAACAGTCCTCTCCAGCTCTAGCAGTTCATATAGGTGCTAGTTCTGTCGCAGAAAATGGGACCAGGCATGTACGCACCCAGCCAAGTTAGCTGAAGAACTAAAGACCACTCCATCCCTCTCCTACATGACACAGCTCTTAACATGATCAGGTTTTTAATTTTGCTTCTTGTCTTTTTCTTCCCACCCAGAGGTCACAGAACGGCAGGGATTTATTTGGTTCAGTGGACAGTCTGGTTCCTAGGACAGGGCCTGGCCCCCACAGAAGCACTCATTTATCGTTTGGCTTTTTTCTGGTGTCAGGGATTGAACCCAGGACCTTGTTCATGCTAAGTACATGCTGTACCAATGAGCTACACGCCAAGCCCCACATTTGTCTTTATCCCTTTATTTTGGTACTAGGGATCAAACCCAGGGCCCCACACCTGGGGACGTGCTCTTCTACTGAGCTACATCCCCAGACCCTGTAGATCTTTGGAATGCATGAATGAATGAAGCTCTTGCAAATGCCATTGGAATTACAGCCTGGGGCTCTACAAAGATTAATCTATGATTATCTATGATTATGATTTATTAAGACACAATTAGCTAAGAAATCACAATGTACAAAGGCACATAGACTGTATCTTTGGAAGTGAGTGAGTTTTCCTAGGGACAAAGGAACTGCTAATGAGAACATTTATCTCCAAGGCCAGGACAAAGCAGAGGTCACAAAGGCTATACCCCAACTTGCTGCCTCTGAATGAGAAACACCCAAGAGCTCTTTTGTTTCTGTAACTGCCAAGAGCACTACCTTCAACTCTGTGGCTGCCAGCCCCTACTGATGGTGCCCAGGAACTGCTACCTGGGACGGTCTGCGGCGGGTGGCTGGGGCTGGTGGTGATGACGTAGAGGACTTTGGAGGAGCGTGCAGCACTGACGCTGAGGTTGGCCTGCTCGGTGATCACCTGGGCCAGCGTCTGGGTGACAGTGGGTCTCTCCTGTGGCAGTTCTTCCTTGACAGCTGGAAGATCAAAAGGGCTTATGGGGGGAAAGCTGATGGACACAACAGGAAGCAGAAGGTGAAGGAGGAAGCCTTAGTTATAAAGAGAAGGCCTTTTGCTCTGGGTAGGGTTCCTTCCACTGGTCCTGCTGGTCCCAAAGCAAAACCGTGAGACTCTGGCTGTGGGCCTGCAAGAGGCAGAGGGAAGAATCTAGATGATTTCTTGTTTCCCAACCCTGTGCTTGGCAGCCAGGTCTCCCTTTGCCTGGAAGACCCTCTTTCTTCCTATCTCTAGACCCCAATCCCACCTATTCCTCATGACTGTCCCATAGCAGGAGAGACCTCTTCCCAGCCATCTGCTGCACACACTACCTCATCGAGGGTTCACACCTTCCATGTTTCTCAGGTGGTGGTAAAGAGTCACATCTAGCATACATATATTCACACCAGAGGGACATCTCCACTTTAGAAGGGCTTGAAGAAAGCTGACCAACCAGTCTTTGGGACTGGCTGGGAAGTTTAGAGGCAGGAGGATGGACTGAGTGACCTCTTGCAAGTTTCTCAATTCTACCAATCTCAGCTCTTTCTTTTCATTATTCTTTTAGCCCTTCCACAAAAACTGTCATTAAAGCTACTAAAATGCAAAACTGAAACATTATCAAGTTGTGCAATGGGAGGTGGGGAGCGGGGAGGGGGCTGTAGTGCTGGGGTAATCTGGGGTGGAGTCAGTAGCTCCTGTCCACCTGATGAGAACCACTTGGTTAGAAAGTCACCCTCGTGGGAAAACAAGCCTGAGGCACACAGGCTGAGGGTGTCTCACCTTGGTATAAGACAGCAAATCCCTGGGCCTGATTGATGCGATCGGAGAAGAAATATAAAATGACAAAATCCAGAGAGACATTAAAGGATGAAGGTGGGCGGTTCCTTCCATTGAAACGGACCAGGACGTGGTGGGTGTAGCCATCCAGCAGCTCTACCATGTCTGCAGAATCCCTGATGTCAAATAAGGTGAAGTTGAAGTGGATGTGGGAGGCTCCCGGAACCCGAATGGTCCAGTAGCAGACTCGTCCTGTGGCGTAAGTGTCGGGAAAATCCGGGGAATAGACCACGGATGTCATGGCTGAATAGTTCCCACCGCAGGCGCCAACCAGAGCTGCAGAAGACAAGGAGACAGCAGGCCTGGGTCTGGGTCTTGGCTACCGGACTCGCTCTCCAAAGCTGGCACAAACAGAACTCTTCCTAAGCAATGTGACCCATTTGGGGACTGTTTTATCTCTAAAGCCAGACCTTCTCAGGTTTCAGGATCAAATCACAAAATGAATCACTTAAACCCTGAACAAATGACTGTGGAGACTTTTTTGTTTTGGCCCAGGAGACCTGAGCACCAGCACACAGCACAGCAGTTGGGCTGTGCTGGAGTCAGAGAGTCTGGGTGCGGGACTGGCAGGGCCATCTGATCCCACCCTTCCCTTCCAGGCTCCTCCCTTCTCTCAGGTCTAGGCTGGGGAAAGCACCTGCTCCTGCACCCCAGGATGGCTCCAGGACATGCGGACACACAGGGATCTCTTGGCAGGGGAGGCACTTGAGGTGAAGTTCTGGAAAAGGAATGGCTCCACAGCTGCTTGGTGTCCCCGATACCCCAGAGGGGCAGCACAGGAGGGGTCCACACTCATTTCTCAAGCAGGAAACTGGCACAGGAAATGACTTTCTGCCTGGGGGAATCCTAGATTCTCATTGCTCTGACTGGGCACATCTGATTTCCCTGGGCGCCTGTTTTTGATTGGCAGGCTCTAGGAAGGAGACACAACTACTTCCTCTCTTACATGGTGAAGTGTAAACAAGACCTTGGGGGGCAGCAGGGGGCTGGGGAGAAAGCAGGCTTTAGGAAAGTTCTGTGTCCCTGTGGGGCACAAACAGAAACAAGAATATGCTGCCAGGGCTAGGGATGTATCTCCTAGCCTGTGAGGCCCTGGGTCCAATCTGAAGCATGGAAAAAAAGAAAAGAATACATTGATTTCTCATCCTATAATTCTAAAAAGCAAGAAGCTCTTCCAAGGAGAGTCAGGCCACACAAATGGTTTCATCTGTGACAGAATATGGGAGGAAGAGGTGACCTCCACAGAAGCAAGTAAGAAGAAAGCAGCCAGAATTTTTGTTTTGTTTTGTTGTTTTTTTCTCTTACTAATTTGCAATTTTTTTGTTGAATATGTTTTTTCTTTTTTCTTTTTTAATTATTGGTTGTTCAAAACATTACAAAGCTCTTGACATATCATATTTCATACATTTGATTCAAGTGGGTTATGAACTTCCATTTTTACCCCGTATACAGATTGCAGAATCACATCGGTTACATATCCACGTTTTTACATATTGCCATACTAGCAGCCAGAATTTTAACAAATTCTTTCATTTTAAGACATTTTTTTTTTTAGTTATAGATGGACACAATACCTTTAATTAGTTTATTGTTATGGGGTGCCGAGGATCGAACCCAGTGCCTCACACATGCTAGGCTAGCACTCTACCACTGAGCTACAACCTCATCCCTTAACAAATTCTTTTTTTAAAAAATTTTATATGGGGGCTGGGGATGTGGCTCAAGCGGTAGCGCGCTCGCCTGGCATGCATGCGGCCCGGGTTCGATCCTCAGCACCACATACCAACAAAGATGTTGTGTCCGCCGAGAACTAAAAAATAAATATTAAAAAAAAATTTTATATGAATATATATATTTATCAATGGACCTTTATTTATTTATTTATATGTGGTGCTGAGAATCAAATCCAGTGCCTCACACATGCCAGGCAAGTGCTCTACCACTGAGCCACAATCCCAGCCCTTAACAAATTCTTAAAAAAAAAAAAAAAAAAAAAGTGTGTATATATTAGTTGCAGATGGACACAATATCTTTATTTTGTTTATTTTTTAATGTGGTGCTGAGGCTTGAACCCAGTGCCTCACATGTGCTACTCAAGTGCTCCAACACCGAGCTAAATCCCCAGGCCCGAATTTTTACAAATTCTTAAAGACTGAGTATGGGTTTCCCTTTCAATTGAGGGCAGCTGTGAGCCCCAGACACATTCTGTTGCAGGCTCTTCTGCACAGGCCTTCATCAAATGCTGTGAGGAGTGACTGGGATCAGGCAGCAAGTCAGCTTGCCCCTTGGTGGCAAAGGTGTGCAGGAGGTGACAGGCTGCCACTGAGAGACAAGCATGAAACAGTAATTGCATCCTATACCTCCTCTCAAAGGAAGCAAAGGTCTTCCGATGCTGGGGAGGGCAGCAAGCCCTCCTGCTCCTGGCTCATTGGAGAAGGGTAGATGCAAAACCCCTCCTTCCTTTTGCCAAATAACCAGGCAAAGAATCCACTGCTCTAGGGAAAGCAGAAGCAAAGGCATTAGCCTCTGGTTGCCTTGAGCCTCTTGGGCCCAGGATCCAGCAAAGCAGAGGTCTGCCATTCCTGGGGACAGGCGGGAAACTCCCAAGGTCCACCACAAACCAAGACAGTGTTTGGCGTCCAGGGAGAGAACAGGTGTGCGGGAACACTGAAAAGGCCTCCCTCCTGCAGCTCAGTATCATGTCCTGAGGATGGGGCAGGGAGACTAGGAAGCTCCTCTGACCTCCCCCAAGAGCACAGCACCAAGTTACAAGCACCAGAGTCACCTCTGAGGAAGGAAAAGAAAGTGGAGAAAGAGCCCCTCTGTGACACAGAGGGGACTGCTCAGTGCTGACGATGGGAAAAGCCCACTGAGCAAACCCACTGGCACCTCAGGCTCCACACTAAGCACAGGTAATAGCAGCAGCCGGCACCAGAGGACTCTGAAGCTTCGTGTACATTGAGAGCGATGCAAGAACAGCAAAACCCAAGCCTGGCACCCCTGCTGGCAGTTTGGTTTAATTGGCACACTAAGCAGGCCAGCCCAGGTGAAAAGGCTACTGCCCTTAGCGTCATAGAGAGGGGTGGATAAGACTCACTGTTAGGAGAGAAAGCCAGCGGGGCCAGGGCGCACACCTGTAATCCCAGCAGAGTGGGAAGCTGAGCCAGCCTCAGCAAAAGCGAGGCACTAAGCAACTCAGTGAGACCCTGGCTCTAAATAAAACACAAAATAGGGCTGGGGGTGGGGCTCAGTGGCGGAGTGCCCCCAAGTTCAATCCCCAGCACCACACTGCTCCCCCTCCACACCTCAAAAAAAGAGATAAAACCAACCACAGAACCAGACTTGCTAATGACCCAGATGCTGGAACTGTCAGACACAGAGACTACACGATGGATGCAGTTAGTATCTAGTGAAAAAATAGAACTGAAAATTTCAGCAGAGATACGGAAACTATAAAAAAGAGGCAAATATAAATGGTAGAAGTAAAACAATATCAGAAATGAAGCATTCCTTTGATGGGCTCATCAGCAAACTAGACAGAGCTAGGGAAAGAATAAATTTGAAGATAGGTATTGATAGAAATTATTCAAAATGAAACACAGAAGGTAAACAAAGTAAAAAACAAAACAAAAAGCATCTATGTGACTATATCAAAGGACCACACACACACACACACACACAATCTAATGCTGGTCATTTGATATAGTTAACCCTTCTCAATCCTTGGGTAGATGCAGTCTGAGATGGGCAACTTTTGCAGAGCTGAGAGGCCACTCTGAAAATAACCAGAACAAAAAAAAAAAAAAAAGTTACTATATCACTGGACCACACACACACACACACACACACACACACAACCTAATGCTGGTCATTTGATATAGTTAACCCTTCTCAATCCTTGGGTAGATGCAGTCTGAGATGGGCAGCTTTTGCAGAGCTGAGAGGCCACTCTGAAAATAACCAGAACACCTGGGAATTGTTTTTTTTTAATTTAAAAAAATTTTTTTAAACCAGAAATGTCCCCGCCCCTTTCTCTTATTATTTTTGATATAGAGTCTTGCTAAATTGCCCTGGTTGGGATGACAGGTGTACACCACGCCTGGCCTGTTCACATATTTTTAAAGCATGAAAATGGATCAGTTATTATGACCTATTTTATTACTGTTAATAATAGG